AGAAACAACAGTACAGCTACTTTTCAGAGCAGTATGGAAAAAAAGATGGCCATTCTTATTTTTACTGCCAGCAGGATGGTCCAAGACGTGCCAAAATAAATTCAAAAAGTTCCAGTGATCTTGTGGAAGGAGAGAATTCTGAAGATGAAGATTCATCACAAGATGACGGACCAGCATTCAAACGGAGGAAGAGGAGCTGCAACAAAAAAGGCAGAATGAAGACAGGATTCAACTGCATAGCTATGATGAAAGTTTTAGAAACCAAGACAGGTGTGGAGGTGCAGTATTTTCCAACACATAACCATGTCCAGTATGAGGCTGATCTGAAGCATCAGCCCCTCACTGAGGCAACAAATTCGTACATAAACAAGCACTTGGCATATGGTGCTTCACCCAGAAAGATTGTTAAAACTTTGAGAGGGGACAAGTTTTCAAGGGAAAACAGAAAAAGACAAGACATGAAACTGACAAGAAATGACTTCATCACTATAAAAGCACTACGAGAACGTAAGAGAAAAATGGCTGCAGAAAAAAGTTTACATTCAAATGATTCTGATGCTGTACGAATGAGAGTTGAGACATTAAGAGAAGAGAATTATAATCCAGTATTAATATACAAACCTAAAGGTTATGAGCAGAAGTATGGACCGCAGTCAGCCAAAAATCTTCCTAAAGATGTGTTCATGCTGGGTCTGCAAACAGAAGAACAAGCAGAAATGATGAGAATGGCAAGTAGCACTATACTGATTGTTGACGCCACCCATGACATGGACCAGTATGGTCACCAGCTTTTAAATGTTGTAGGAGTTGATGAGCTGAACAGAGGATATCCTCTTGCACATTTAATTAGTAGTAGTATGAAAGAGGATTATTTGCAGTACTTTTTTGAGGCATTGAAACTAAGGTTGCCTGATTTAGAGATTAATTGTGTCATTACTGACGATGACCCTGCATTGATCAACTCCATGAATATGGGCTTTCAAGAACTAATTAGACATATTTTGTGTGATTGGCACTTCAAGAGGACCATTCAGGGCCAATTACATACAAAAGTTAAAAACACAGAGCTTGAAGATCAGATGTTTAAGGAGCTCTGTGTAGTAATAGATCTGACCCAAGAATCAGAGTTTAACCTTGCGTTAGATACTTTTACAAAAAAATATGGAAATTTTAAAATGACTAAATTATTTATATCTTATTTCAAAGCAACTTGTGTTCCAAAGAAAATGAAATGGGCCAAGTGTTACAGAAGGTTTCCACATGGAAACGTTGAGACTACTATGTATGTGGAATCTTTTCATAATATTTTAAAAACAATATACTTAAAGAGAAAACCTAACAAGAGGATTGAAACACTTGTGAATCTACTTTTGGAGGTTGAAGAGGATTACTACACCAGAAGGCAGACAACCATAAATACTGTTGCACCAAGAGAACAGTATTTTCAATATATTTCTGAACGGCATCTGAGAGGTGTAAATATTCCATGTGATGCCGTCCAGGAATATGATGAAAATGGTTCAAAGTATTGGATCATTAAATCTCAGTCCATAACAGATATGGAGTATAAAGTTTTTAAAAAATCAGACACATGCACACAACCTGGTATGTGTTTTTTTCAGTGTCATGCAACAGACTGCTATGACAATCTTTGTGCTCATATGTACATGTGCACATGCCCTGATGAAATTCTTCTGTGTAAGCACATTCACAAGGTGCATTCGAAATTTTCTGAAAACACACAACCTGATACTTCAAAACAAACGGAATCTGCAGTTGTTGAATTTCACTACATAGAAGAGAATAATGGTAATTCCAATAACGAAAATAATGAAAACACTAGGCAAGACAAAGAAGAGGAAGATCTTTTGAAGTCTTTAGAGGAACTTTCAAATCATATTAAGAATGATTCAGTTAAAAAAACTTTATATCCTTACTTGAGAGGTAATATTAAAGCAATGTTAGCTGAGTGCCGTTCAGTTGTGGATCAGGATGTGAGCGACAAAAGTATGCCAGGAATGACAGCAACTGTGAAACACACATCCCGAGAAAAATTGAAACGACAATTAAAACCCTTTACAAAGAAGAAACTATCAAAAAAACAACTAAGTTATGAAAAAAGCAAAACTCCAAAGTTTCAAGAGAAGGCTGATATCAAGAGGAATTTGTTAGCTTCAACCTCTTCAAGTATTGATAATAATAGCTGTGCTAGTCCTTGTGTTCCCTTTAATGAAAGTTCCCTTAATAATGATCATGAAATCGAACTGGACCCTGACACACCATTTAGTGAAGTAGTTCGCACAACAACTTTCAATCAACCAGCAACAAAACCTTCAGTACAATTTGTTTCTCGACCCATTTTCACTCATGGAAAGCCGTCAACAAAATTAAGAGATAAGCATAACATACTACTATAATAATCTTGTACATTGTTTTATGTTCACTCTATTATTTATATTTATTGTATCTGTTGATTCAGTTTGTATATATGAATTTTTTAAAAATATGATGCGACTCTTTTAACTAGAGACATGATATGTATACGTATCTGTTAATTCATATTGTGTTCATGAATTTTCAAAGATATGATGTGACTCTTTAACTAGAGATGTGATCTGATTATATATCTGTTGATTCAGTTTGTCTATATGAATTTTTAAAGATATAATGTTGACTCTTGAACTAATGATGTGAGCTGTTTATGTATCTGTTGATTCAGTTTGTATATATGAATTTTTAAAGACATGATGTTACTCTTTAGAGCCCTCACATTTTAGAACAAGGACTAAACAAGCTTCGGTACCCACAACCACCATTTGCGTTTTTTCTTGAGACCAAAGCCCCGTCCCCTTTGCACGCTTCTATGACAGTTTTATGACACCAAGGTAGTAGTTAAATGAAATAACAATTACAGCTAATCTACCACAAGATTAGTTCATCTTTCGTACTTACCAGATAAACTCACCACCAAATATCTTCCTCTAATCTGGAACACTGAATTCTTATCGAAGAATTTCCTACAAACAACAGCATCTTTTGAGTGTCAAAGCCAAAGCGTCTGCCTTGTCTGGCTTGTCTGGCTGCGTGGTCCTGTTTCGTCGTGTCAATAGTCGGCACGGCGACGGCGAGCGGCGATAGCGGCGGTACTACGTCTTGCAAAAGAAACGACCCTCTGCTGCGGGACTACTCCGCGCTCCGGCTCGGGCGACAGACGGACACCGGCCGCCCCGTTGCCGCTGTGCACTAGGGCGGGGGCGGGGGGCACCGACTGCACTGCCGGGCCGGCGGTGCGCGCTGGAGGGCTCGGCATGCCTGGCCTCCTGGGTCGCAGCCCCGGGCCGCAGTCTTCCGCGGTGGTGGTGACCGGTGACGGGCGAAGTGACGGGCATTGTGACGGGCCGTAAGCGGCTGCTTCGGCTACTCACAAGTGTTCAACTACGTGTCGCACTCATGCAGTTCACTGAAAATTTGAACAGTTTCAAGTTTTCGGGTGAACAATTATTGAACACTTAAAACTGTTGTGTGCAACTAGGGACTGTGCTCTTTAAGCACCCACTAGTGCTTTTAGACTGTAACCCTGTTATATAGGAATGCAGTAGAGGAGACAGAGGGCATACCCTATCTAGGTGCCTCATCACACTTGCACACCTAGGTAGGTAGGCAAACGAAAAGAAATTAACGCATTAACGATTGGAGGGGCAGTTTTAGTGACATACCTGAACTATAGGAAATTTGCTCCACCACCAAACAATAGTGCCCCCCCCCCTCTCCGCCAGCCACCTTACAACCCGAGCGTGACACCGTTTATTCCAGATGGTAAAAAGTAAATCTTTAATTTCAAGTGCCCTTCACTAGGGTGTATAAAAGCTCACACACCCCAAGTGAAGGGCGCCTGAAATTAAAGATTTACTTTTTACTACCTGGAATAAACGGTGTCACGCTCGGGTTGTAAGGTGGCTGGCGGAAAGGGGGGGGGGGAGAGGACAATATTGTTTGGTGGTCGAGCAAATTTCCTGTAGTTCAGGTTTGGCACTAGAACTGCCCCTCCAATCCACGCTTGTCGTTAATGCGTTAATTTCTTTTCGTTTGCCTACCTACCTGGGTGTGCAGGTGTGATGAGGCACCCAGATAGGGAATGCCCTCTGTCTCCTCAACTAGGGCTGGGCGATATTATTTTTTGAAAACCAATAGACAATATTTTGGTATATTGGAATTTTGTCCAATATCAATATTTCTGTATTGGAATATTGGAGTATTGGAAATATTGGAATATTGGAGTATTGGAAATATTCAATATATTGACAAATTGAACGATAAGCACTAGTTTTAGACGTCAATTGCCTGAAAGAGGCCGCTTTGGGCCACCTGGTGTGAGTAAGGACGTTACCAGGGGTGCTGAACACTCGTTCAGATAGCAAACTAGAGCCTGCACCGCCGTTTGACCGCTTGCCCTGCCACCCCGCTCCGTTTATTCAATATTGGAATTCCAATGTTCCAATACACCAATACAGAAATATTGATATTGATGGCTTCAAAAATTCCAATATTGGCCACCAATATTTTTTGAATATTGATATTGGTGTCAATACATTGGAATATCGACCACCCCTATTCTCAACTGCATTCATAGTTGCAGGCAACAGTTTTAAGTGTTCGATAATTGTTCACCCGAAAACTTGAAACTGTTCAAATTTTCAGTGAACTGCATTAGTGCGACACGTAGTTGAACACTTGTGAGTAGCCAAAGCAGCCGCTTACGGCCCGTCACAATGCCCGTCACTTCGCCCGTCACCGGTCACCACCACCGCGGAAGACTGCGGCCCAGGAGGCCAGGCATGC